ATTAAAACAATTAGGTGAATTGAAAACATGCTCAAACATGTTCTTCAGCATGATGTTTTGTATACCTTCACATCCTTTAGAACAGTAGTTCCCCTACTTACAGGCCACCAATATTTACTAAGTTTCAAGGAAGCCACTTTAATAATAACAAATAACCTACTTTATTTTAGCAGCATGTGGGCACACTTAGGCATGGAAGCCAAAAAAATTAACTGGTTGACAGTGTCATTGCATATTCTGATTGTACTGTACAATTGCCCTTCGGTAGAGATTATTGCAACTTTTGAGTGTTGGCACCTATGATGGACCTTAAGAAATTAGACTTCTTCACACTGGCCACACTTTTGAAAATGTTGGGAACTGCTGCTCAAGGACAATGCATGAGTAGAGAAGTTTGAAAAAACATTAGAATTAACACTTTCATCTAACATGTTTTTTTTCTATCTCTACACACAGACATTAAATATTCATGGTTACACAGGTATACTGATGAACTTGTGAACCATCGTGTTTACTTTGGGTATGACCAAGGACCTCCCATCTAGCAATGTCAACAGAATGAGTTTCTATGCATAATTATACTATAGTGTCATCATTGCATTAAATCAGTGTACTGACTGTCTAACCACTGAGTGCCCTCCCAGTACCTCTACTTGTATTATCAACACCCCAACACCCTCCAAAACCACTTCCGATGCCAATTCCACAGCCTATCATTATTATACTTCCATAGTCACCACAAAAATCCCTAACATCATACCTTTTCAACCCAAGACATGTCCTTGAGTCATCTGTACTACATCGGTTATTGCAGCCACCTGTACATACTACAGTCAGTTACTAAAATCACTCGAATCAGAGCAATCGCTTCAGTCACTTATCCTTCATCTGGTATTACAAGTACCACATCAGTTACAGTAGTCACACATACCACATTACTTGCGGGAATCACCTGTGCAACATCAATTACCACAATCACAGCACCACGTTCCCCACGTTGTCATCGCGCTTCCCAGAATCCAAAATCCCTCATCAGGCATCAGACCTTGTAGAACTGATATCCATCCAGAAGACTAGTCCCACTGTCCCCCTCCCCAGTGCCACCTCGCACAGTACCACGTCCCAGTCCCACATCTCCGGCCTTAATCACTCTTAAGTGTAATCAAATCTCGTCGGCTTAACATTAATAAAGTGTAAGTAAGAAGAGTGTCATATTATCCTTTATCAGACATTGTGTGTGTGTGTGTGGTGTGTGTGTGTGTGTGTGTGTGTGTGTGTGTGTGTGTGTGTGTGTGTGTGTGTGTGTGTGTGTGTGTGTGTGTGTGTGTGTGTGCGTGTGTGTGTGCGTGTGCGTGTGGTGTGTGTGTGTGTGTTGTGTGTGTGTAAGAATAAGAGAGAAGAGAGAAATTAATATAATGGTAATGAAATAAGAACGGAAAGAGAAAAAAATAAGAAAATTGAAATAAAAATAAGAAGAGAGAGAGGGGGGAGAATATTCAGAGTTGAGTGTGTCGCGATGGCCCAGGAATCTGATATGGTGTAAACAAGTAATAATAGACAATACCGTAAATACAATCGCAATTATCAAGTGCTCTAACTAATTGAATAACCAAGTAAAGTAAACTACAAATACCTCTCATATGCTCATGTAAACAAAATGAAAAAAAAGAAATACCTTCAAAAACACCATTGTTCACGTGCAAAATCTCGAAAAATATAACAAAATATAACGGTAAAAAAAAAAATCAAGTGTGCTTGCGTGTGAATTGATAACGTCGTGCGTGAGAATGTAAAATCGAAACTGATGATCGCTGAGCAGGAAGAATAATCTAGCTTAGTTAGCGAGAAGCCAAACTATTTTCTAACATACTTTAACCTATTATTCAAGAAAAAAATGTGTTTAAAGCGAAACTGAACGAGTAGTTTTCTTAAACTTGAAAAATTGTGAACATTAGATATAGGAATACTAGTACTAAAAATAGTAGTCAAATCTGGTAGTTAATCACAATCATAATTGTAACAATATATGATGATGCTAATGATAGCAAAGATATGGAATGAATTAATCAAGAGACCAACAACGAAATTAACACTGCACGTGATACGTTGAACGATAAGAATCATGATAAATATCGTAATAACAACAATAATAATAGCAAGTAGTATTAATATCGTAAGAAGAACTGTGCAATGGGAGTGGTGTTAACGAAAATTAGTGATATAATGATAATAATAGCAGTAATCAGTGGCTTGTCGAGGTTTAGCGATGCCCAACTCCTATTTTCTACGCCCCAAAAATTCAAGTGCAAGGCCTAAAACTGAAAAATATGAGATAAGGAGATATTTTGAACATGTAATCACAGATAAAACATGAAATAAGCACTTTCTTCGATTTAGAAATAAGAAAGGGAAATATTTCGAATATATAACCGTAGATGAAACATGAAATGAAGACTTTATTCGATCGAGATAAAAATTTTAGTCACTTTTATTTCCCTCT